TTGGCGGTGTTTCACCCCCGTGCCTCGTACGTACGTCTAGCACGTAAAGCCGTTGGTCCTTCGCCTTAACTCTCACCGGTCGTGTCGAGCAGTCGTCCCACCGGAGTATGAGAGTGACAGGAATAGACAGTGCTCTTGTATCTGCGCGTACACTTGTGCACTATAATATCTCCTGCGCAGTTGGCCAGTCTCATTGAGATTGGCCGCCGTAGCCAGAATCGGTCAGGAGAACATCATCCATAACACAAGCCTCCTAGTTTACCATGGAACTAGATGATGCTGTGTGTTAATGTCCCAACTTGTATTTATTTACATATTTATTTTAAAATTTCTATGACAATTTTATTGTTTCTATATTCTCAAAGGTAACAAAATCAAAATTCAGATAGACCTAAACTAAAATTCATTAAAATCGACACACAAAAACCACATACTATCTACATACATGTAAAAAATAAATAAAATATAATGTATGTACATTACATGAACAATTGAGCAAATACTTCTGATAGAGTCATTAGAGATTATCGTATAGTTTTTAATATATATAAATGACCTATGTAACTTAGAAATAGAAAATGGGCATATTTATTCATATGCAGATGACACTGCTATAGTTTTTCATGGCAAAACGTGGGAAGAAGTTCATAGTACTGCAGAAATAGGCTTAAGAAAAATATCTAGTTGGCTTAAATCTAACGTTCTTACACTAAACACACATAAATCAAATTATATATGTTTCTCAATAAATAAAAAAACTCAGCCTACATCATCAAAATTACAAATACACCACTGTAAGGATCAGAGTGTAAATTGTATGTGTCCTAGCATTGATAAAATAGATTCAATCAAATACTTAGGCATAATTATTGATCAAAGATTATCTTGGCACTCCCATCTGGAACTACTATCAAGCAGAATTAGAAAACTTATTTGGATTTTTAAAACCTTAAGATATGTTGCAACAAATAAAATTCTAAACCAAGTCTATACAGCTCTTGCTGAATCAATTTTGACATACTGCATCCCAGTATGGGGAGGAGCATCAAAAATTAAATTCCTAGAATTAGAACGTAGTCAACGGGCCTTACTAAAAGTTATGTTCTGTAAACCATATCGTTTCCCTACAAAAGAGCTATACTCCATTAACAACTTACTAAGTGTGAGAAAGATATACATATTACAATTAATACTACAGAGGCATAAAACAGTAACTATAGACATAAACACGAAGACAAAAAGACGAGTTAACATTAGAGTAGAAACAGGTATTGTAAAAACTAAATTTGCTAGTCATCAGTTTGCTAAGAAATCGGCTTCTATATACACAAAGGTGAATGGTATGATAAAAATATATTTGCTTAATAATTATGAACTAAAAAAGTCCCTGACTGCCTGGCTTGCAAAATTAAATTATGAAGAAGCAGAAGCTTTATTCAATGAAATTACCTAAACATCCACTTCAACATTTTATTTACACAAGTACATGCATGCGCGCGCTCACATACACACATACACACACATACACACATACACACACATACACATACAACACACACACACACACACACACACACACACACACACACACACACACGCACACACACACACAAACACACACACACAGACACACATTTTTTTTTTTCTATTATTTTTATTTTATTTTTATTTCTTTTTTTTTCTATTATTTATAAGTTGTTGGTTAATATAAAAAACACTATTGAGTTGTATAATTTTAAGAAATTTTCTACGGAAGAGCGGGACATCCTGGCACAGGTATCTATTTACTTAAAAGGATGTCCCAATAACGGACTTAATGTATTTAAAAACTCTTTTTATTAATAAATCATTTTTCATTTTCATTTTCATTTTCATTTTTCAGTCCCGTACTATTAACGATATACGTTAGCGAGTGCGTTTCACATTTTTACTATAATTTTACGACGAATTGCGAGTTAATTCTTGATTTTTATTGCATTAGCCAGATTAGATGGAAAAAAATCAAAAGCTACATTTATATAAACAATTTTTTTTATTGTCAAACGAAAAGGTACCCATAAAGTTTGATGTTATGTTGTTTTTATATAGGTACTCAAATATACTCGTTATTTTTCGATTCAACCATTGATCATCGTTTACATCGTAGATCACTCTGTAGATACATCTTCAGTGTTCATTAACTTATTAGAGTAATTACTTCATGTAAGAACGAAACCCGCTATTTCCGTCTTAGCACTAAGTGACATTCAAACATACGCAAAAATAACTATCGTCACAATAGTAGAGTGTAGTTAACTATAGTAATTCTAGTTAACAATAGTAGCCGGCAGTAATTTAACGGTCCGCGCCTTCCTTTAAACGACATCGTTATAATGGCTTAGAGCAATTTTAAAACTTTGACTCGAAACATAATGTTTTATATAATATATAATTTAATAAAAAAATAAAATAAAATGTAAATCGACTTCAGTGTATTAAAAAATTAGAAATAATCGTGAATACAACTAGCGGTTTACTCTAGCCTTTATGCTGTCTTTATGCTGTAGTCATAAACTGTCTGTGTATTAAATTTCATCCAAATCTGTTCTGCCGTTCCGGTGTAAAAGAGTAACACACATAGGTATATACATAAAATTTCATATTTATAATAGTATATTTTTATGTGGTGGTGGTGGTATGGTATAATGGTATGGTATGGTATGGTAGTGGTGGTATATTTTTGGTTTTGGTACCTTTGGTGCCAGTATTATTAAAATTTTAATCAAATAATCCCAAGCATAAAGGCTTTACTAGTACCCATTGAAGTGTTCCAAAATCTACCTCATGGCTCCATCCTTAGATAAGCTCGATGATATAAAAATATAGTATTACCATCTAAATTGCACATACAAATACTTGTCTTAAAATTAACGTTTATATTAGTAATTATAAGTTATAATTTCGCATGAAAATCGATTTCAAAAACCTTAGTTGTTGATGTTTGCTAAAATCGAAACATCGGTAACGAAAACAACTATAAAGCCGCTTAAGATTAAAAAAAAATATTTTTTTTTTAAACTGTACATTACAAAGTCTAAAATCGAATCGAACATTACATGTATACAAGTTGCAATCGATTGCTAAGATTTAATAACATTTTTTATAGCTAATAAAGTAGTTATAATAATATAAACTAATTTTATTCTGTAAAGACTAAAGTACTGAATTTATTTACATTAAATTTGATCACGAACTCTAACAGGTATCTAAACGTATTACGTATTTGCAAGTCCCACTGGGTTTTTTCACTTGAAAGTGTTTAGTCCATAACATTGATATTCTATACGCATTTTCACTATTCTATCGAATGAATAGATACGAAAAATAAATCTGTAGATTTTATAGAAAGGAAAATGGATAGTTTATTTTCTCTTTTATTTTGGAGTTTTACCGTAACATTACAATAATCGAATTAACACTCATATTTTTTGTTTAGTAATAACTAGCGAATTATTCTCGCATCGTTCGGGTTCGTCACTAGTGAAAAATAAAAACAAAACTATCCCACGGGAAGCGTACATTTTTCCGGGATAAAAGTAGCCTATGTGCTATTCCAGACTATTATCCAACCGTTCAGCGTTCCAACGTGATTGAGTAACAAACATCCATCCATCCAAACTTTCGCATTTATGTATAAGTCAGATTAACTTTTAAGTAAAAGGTTATACTTTAAAAGTAAATATTCCGTCCCTAGTACATTTTTTCCTTAATATAAGATTCTCGTTTAAAAATTAACTAAGATATTTTATCTAATACTTCAGATAGTTTCAATTAATATTTTACGTTTTCCCTTGTAATTATTCCATAAATATTTTCAATGCAAATAATACTTTACAAATCTATACAATTTAATAACAAAGTGTTCAATAAACAGAAGTCTTGTTTATAATAGAACACATGGCTTTGTTTGAGTCGCTTTTGTTTCTTAACTTCATTTTCTATACATTTTCCACTACGAGTACTTTCCGCTTTCGATTGCGTTGGGGATACAGATTATAGACCAGGGGTTAGAGTGTGATGAAACTTAGGTTTGGTTTTCTTAGATTTGACCTTGAAAATGAAAAATGCAGCCATTTTGTCTATCATATTCGTTATATTTATAATATTTATGTACTTAAAGTTATATAAGTATATGAAGTGTATCAACTATCTGGTATCCATAACACAAACCTCGTAGCTTGCCATGGAACTAGATGGCGTTGTGTGTTAATGACTCAACATATTTATTTATTTATTATCAGCGCGTCGAATTACAATAGGGGTACCAAATAGCAGTTAAATTGGAGGTTTGGGCTTTTCGGAAGTGCACCCGCTTTTTTTTGGTCTTACTTAATATGTACTTACGACTCTGGAAAATATATATCGGCGGCTTAAACAAAAAAGAGCTTTGAAATATCTATCTTAATTTTAAAGACGTACTCAGAAATACGTCACACGAACCGATTTCCTTTTTTTATTCATTTAGTAGCTCTTGACGAGTTTTAGTGTTATCAATTAAAAAATATATTTAAATGATTATATCAAGAAATGCTTATAATTTGAAAATAACTTAATCATTTCCATATTTACGAAAAACGTATAATAATCATTTAGGTTACGAAAGATACAACATGATAATGTTTTAATTTGGTCATATGAAAGGCAATGAAACAAAAAAATTGAAAAAAAAAACGCAACTCAACATCGAATGGTGCACTTCTTTTGAGGACACTTTTGAGACATTAATTATGTATCTAGAGTTTTTGAATATCACTGGTTATGAACCAATACTTATGTTTTCTTTCATTTGTTTCAGATTTACAATGAATACGGGGTGGTTAGCGTGGGAATGTATTGTGTTTGGTTTGTTTGTTTGTGCTACTTCATGTGCACCGCTTTGGGGGAGGAAAAAAGATGCGGCGACTGGAGGCAACGCTAAGCGAGCGTATATATTTGCTGGGGGTGGCGTGTCTACTTTATCAATGATCCTCTCAGTGGCGAGAGGGACATTGGGTGTTAGATCATTTTTAGGTAAGTCCTTCCAGTTTGAATATACCTACTAATGAATTTTGGGGTTCTATAGCAAAATATGAGTATATTTCTAAAATAAATTCATATAATGTATAAAAATCGATATGTGTATGTCTGTGTCCTATGGACTGTTTTGATGAAATTTTTAGGATATCTTCAGATTGACTTGCGAGTGATCCTGTCAAGTTTGGTAGCGATACTGCATTACAATATATAATTTAGTTATAAATAATTTTATGAATTAAAAAACTACTAGATAATACCATGTATAATAATTTTTTAATAGGTGTAGCTCAGCAACACTTTAGCTCAGAAAACTAATGATGCGAGTTCAAACCCGGGTCTTGCACCTCTTATATTTTCTTGTGCGAATGACTTTCAACATAATTATCGCCCGCCTTACGGCGAAGGACAACATCGAGAAGAAATCTGCATGTATGAAAATTATTATATACTAGAGACTCACACTTGCTTCGCTCGGGTTCGTCCCTAGCTTGATTCCCCAGACAAACTTTTGTCAACCCCTTAAGTGATGATTTCCGGGATAAAATGTATCCTATGTTCTTTCCAGGGTCTCAAACTATCTTCTTACCAAATTTCATCTAAATCGGTTCAGTAGATAAAAAGATTACCTCCTACAACGTCACAAACTCACAATCTCACAAACTTTACCTCTTTATAATATTATATATTAATACCTATAGATTATTCTATAATATAAAAATGAATCGCTGAATGTGTTGCTAAGCGCAAATCTCGAGAGCAGCTGAACCGATTTCGCTAATTCTTTTTTAGAACATTCCTTGAAGTACGAGGATGGTTCTTACGGAGAGAAAAATTTAAAAAAAATCCTGAAAAAGTCTAAAAACAACACTTTTCTATACTTCCATACAAAAGATTCGTAATAATACTTTAAAGTCAATTTGAACTTTAATGCTATACCATCAAGGTTTAAGTGTTAGTGGAGAGGTTCCGCGAAGGCAAAACAATTGAGAGACGTTAGTATTGTATAAATATTAATGTCAATATTTATACGATGGTAACATTACTCAAAAACAAATCTATACAGATAAATTAACAGCTAAAAATAACAGCTTTTTACTAAATGCATATGGATGTATTCACGATATATACACCAAAACAACATTTTTTACAATTTTTGTCTGTCTGTCTGTTTATTCCGGCTAATCTCTGAAATGGCTAAACCGATTTTGACGGGACTTTCTCTGGCAGATAGCTGATGTAATAAGGAGTAACTAAGGCTACTTTTATTTTAGAAAAAAAAATAGTGTCCCCAGGAAAAAAGATTAAAACCAATGAAAAATTTAATAATATCCGATTCAAATAGTTCTATACATACCCTAGGGACTCGCTAGTTAATATATAAAATTGAAACTGTTAATTTTAACCTTCAAAAATAATTTAAAATTGCAAATCGAAACCCTGTAAAGGCTTTAAAAAATAAGATATTTTTTGACTTTGACTTGGATGGTAATAATAAAATACTAATCATTGTAAATAATAAGTAAATATATAAAAAAATATGACGCATAAAATATAAAAAAAAAATAATGCATAAAAAATCTTTTATAAACGCTTAATTTCTATGACGTTTGTTTTTAGCTTTGACTAATTAGTGAAAATTCCTTTCTTTGATTTGTTTTTCTGATTCAATCTTTGATTTCACACTAGATTTAATAGCGTCTTGATAAGTTAGTATGTAATTATAACGTTTTCGTTGGCATACCTACCTTTTTTTAACCGACTTCCAAAAATGAGGAGGTTCTCAATTCGTCGCAATCTTTTTTTTTATGTATGCTCACCGATTACTTGAAGACGCCTGAACCGATTTGGAAATATTTTTTTTGTTTTAAAGGATATACTTCCCAGGTGGTCCCATACAAATTTTATCGAAATCTGTCAAGCGGTTTTTTTGTATTTTTTTGAAATTTGATACGATGTTAGCTGGTTATCCGGGTCAACATATAGGATACTTTTTTCTGCGAGAAAATATCTCATCTCTGAGAAATCTATACTAAACGTTAAAACGTACCTAAGGACGTTGCTAGTTTAAAGTTACACCATATATAACTCAAGAACGACTAGAACCGATTTTTATAACCTTTGATTTGTTGGTTTTGTCTTCGCCTCGAATAACATAATAACTATTAAAAGAGCGGAAATATAATACCTACTAATAACTATTTATACCAATTTAAAATGTGTGTATCAAATCTCGAATAAAACATATAGAATTTTTCGAGGATTCGTTTTCATTGTTGGTTCTCGTTTAGAATGCTTAACAAAAATCACGGGATATACTAAGGTTTTAGATATATCAAAGGCATTATATACTTGTAACAAGTATACATCAAAATAATACAATGATTTTTTGTATTTTTTAAAATCGTATAAAAAGGTAAAAGATAAGGTACAAGGTCATTCTTCTAGTCGGTCGACTACAAAATCACTTCAAAAGTAGGTAAGTTCGATGCTTGAAGGTGAAATATTTTATGTTTTATTTTGAATAATTTAAATAATTAACGAAGATATCGTGTAACAGAAAAAAAATTAGACATCAAATTTTATTTTTAATCAAAAAGATTACGATCATCAGTAACTCTATCTAAAACTGCATAGTCATATTAATATAAAAAATCCCTTTTATTTGAGATGTAAAACTGGTTATTCTAGAACATAGCCATCGAAAGAAATCATGAACATTCATCCAGACTAACAAATACTTCTAGACCAATATAAATAGACTAGCATTGTCCGCGGCTCCGCCCGCGTTCAGATGACCAAAACCAAATTCTTAGGTTTTACGTATTAATATACTCTTACATTGCAGTTTTTGTATTTTTTCTCAGAAATAGGATATTTTCCCGCGGTAAAAAGTATCCTATATGTTGACCCGGATAACCAGCTATCACCATACCAAATTTTATCAATATCCCTGCAATGGTTTTTCTGTGATGCGGTAACAGACAGACAAACAGACAAAAATTCTAAAAACCATAGATCCGGCCTCTGTATTGATAATAATGTTTATTTCAATAAGATATTCCAAAAAATATTTAATGTACAGATTCGGCTTAGTTACAATTTTATTATACGTATAGATATTCGTTACAGATAGCATTGGAACCCGCGAGCACCTACAAAGAGTCTGATATTTTTAACATTGCTTCAAACACAATAGTGATAAATATAAAGCTAATTATAACGATGATTGCTAAAACAAAATACCGTAAACCGTGAAAATCATGTATAATGATGTACATACAAACAGTTTTATCTCATCGTGATCTAGCTAATAATATAGTTATTCACAGCATCAATGCTCATGGTTTGACGACAAAGCGTGTCTGTATATAATAACTATATATAAACTCTATGTAGGAAAATGTTCCCATAAAATATTATAATAAAGTATTTAGCCTAGCTTATTTCTTGTAGAATTATAAATATATAAATTATATATACTACGTTTAAAGTATTTTTATTTAATCGTTTTTAACGTCCCACTGCTGGGCGTGGGTCCCCCTTCAATACGAGGGGGATCAGGCCATAGTCCACTACGTTGCCCAAGTGCGGGTGGACTATACATGTCTTTCAATAACTTGCTAGGCCCTCTCAGACATGCAGATTTCCTCACGATGTTCTCCTACACCTTAAGGTAAGTTACCACGTTAAAAATTATTAGCACATGAAAGTATCAGAGGTGAAGCAGTAGTAGCTAAGTAGACTAATTACTATGATTTTTAGATCTTCTCGTTGTTTTACAGTGAACATTGTCACGGGAGAGATTAAAGGTTTTGGATGTCTCTAAAGTCTTACTTACTAAGTAGTCAGTACCCATAAAAATATACAATAATTTATAAAAAAGAAATATGGCAGCTGTACCATACAATTATAAAAAAATTATGTAACAATTTTCCTTAGTTTTATAGATTAGAATAGTACAAGTATGTCTTGCGAGAATGTGAACGCGACCTTAGTTAGCGAGCAATGTCAATGAGGCACGTTGGCATTACGCCGGTCAAGTTCACACTCAGTTCAACTTTGATGTCAGTTTAATATAATTCAACTTAAATGGAAATTAAAGTTAGGCAGTTTTTTATGGTAATTTTATGTAAAAACTACTGTTTCCTTTATATTTATAACTAGCAACTTTCGTGTCGCTCCGGTGCGTCCCTAGGTATGCGGAATTTGTTCGAAATTTCATAGGTTTTCATTTTTTTGCGCAGAACCCTGATTATTTTTCTGATATAGAAGTAACCTAAATTACACCTTATAACTTCAGCTATCTGCCAGTGAAAGTCATGTCAAAATCGGTCCAGTTGTTTCGGAGATTAGCCGAAACAAACAGACAGACAAAAAAATTAATTTTGTTTTTTTTTTCTTATTAGTACTGTATGTACTTTCATATGCATTTAGTAGAATTCTATTTATCTGTAATAATATTACATACACTGCCATCTTTTTGGTAAATTTTATTATTAAGTGTAGCCTATGTGTTACTCCAGGTCCATTACCTGTTAATAGGTTCTAAGTTTCATTAAAATCTGTCCAGCTGGTACAGAGTGAAGGAGTAACAAACAAACACAAATGCAGACTTTCGCGTTCATGTGTGATTTATACTGCAATTTATATGTAATAAAAAATGTTGATACAATCTTTTATCCAAAAAACAATCTCTATTTCTTAAGTCTACATATTTACCTTTTTAAAAAGATAAAATATTCTTGCATTAAATAATTATTTTTTAAAATTTGCTTTGCATTTCATATGAACGTTCAAATAACAAACCGACGCTGCATTTTTATTCATAAATACCTACATATATACGTATGTATGTAATATAAATTCACAAGTATAGGTATCATTACAAGATCCCACGTACATATTCAACGAACACATGCAAATATAGCAATGTTGTTATATTATTATTTATAATATGATACGATATATGAATCCTTTGTATCGCATTACCGCAAGGTACTAGATCTTCTGTCTGTCACATTATATATAAACACGTCACGTGCTCAAACATGCAGCGTGAAGAGCACGAGCCAAAATGCTCATAGAAATCGTACAAACTAATCCCATTAAATAATATGTTAAAGTGCAAAATTGAGACTCACGTATTTGACATTGAAGACGCGAAATTCTACTTTGGTATCTTCCTTCTTTTTTATACTATATTAGCGTTTGGATGCGGGTTTGTTTGCTTATATTTTTTTTTATGTACACTAAACATATTATGTCTAACAATAGCTCACGTTTTCTCATCTATACATAATATAATAAGATTGTAACTAAGCCGAATCTGTAAATTAAATATTTTTTGGAAAATCTTATTGAAATGAACATTATTATCGATACAGAGGCCGAATATATAGTTTTTAGAATTTTTGTCTGTCTGTCTATCTGTCTGGGCATGCATCACGAGAAAACCATTGGATAGATTTTAATGAAATTTGTTATGATGATAGCTGGTTATCCGGGTCAACATATAGGATTTTCTGTCTTGACTTTTGACTGTATAAATGTATTATATAATAAAGATAGTTTTATTTAAAAGTACACAAACATGAGTCAGACTAAGAATTTCTAAAAAACTGTATCTTATATATTGTGTTTACACAATACTTATTTTCCGATATTCACTCTATGAAGTATGAACACCATTTTTATTTTTACAATTTACATAATAATATAGTATTAGTAAGACGTTATCATATCCATTTACATAGCTCTATGTAGAGTATATTTTAATGGGTTTGTTTAAAAATGACTAAGTAGTCTAGAAAAAATGTTAAATACATCACAGTATGTACTATGTCAACTGCGAAAATTTGTTGTTTGTATGTTTGTTACTCGTTCATGCTAAAACGGCAGCACGGGTTTGAATAAACTATGACCTAGAGAAACACATAGGCTATTGCAAAAGGTGGCGCCGTCTGTATATCTTACTAGTCTTACTAGTAATATTATAAAGTGAAAGTTTAGATGTTTGGGTGTTTGTTACTCAATCACGCCAGAACGGCTAAACGGATTTAGATGAAATTTGGCACAGAGATAGATTATATTCTGGAATAGCATATAAGTTAATTTTTATCCCGAAAAAATGTACGGTTCTCGTGGGATAGATTCGTTTTTGGTTTTCTAGAGGTGAACCCAAGCGAAGCGAGGGTGAGCCGCTAGTAAGATTATATTTGCAAAAAGCCAAGGAATACACAGGAGCAAGTTTATAATTGATACATACTCGTAAATCTAACAAAACAATTACTACTTTCACTCAGTGGAATATTTTAATTAAGCGATTTAATTAGAAATGAATGTAACGTCATTTATATCAAAATGCTTTATCAAGTTTATGGTCTCATTAAATCTTATTGAAATAGTCATTATTATCGATACAGAGGCTGACTATATAGTTTTTAGAATTTTTGTCTGTACATCTGTCTGTCTGGGAACGCATCACGAGAAAACCACTGGATAGATTTTGATGAAATTTGGTATGATGATAGATGGTTATCTGGATCAACATATAGCATTTAGAACAAAATTAGTTTTTTTTGATATAACACACAGCACCATCTAGTTCTATGGTAAGCTACGAGGCTTGTGTTATGGATACTAGATAGTTAACACATTACACATAAATAACTTTAAATACATACATTTTGTAAATATAAACAACTATGACTGGAGTACAAACGTTCATGCTCATCACACAAATATATGCCCTCAGACTCGATCGAATCCGCGACCGTTGGCACAGCAAGTAAGGACCCTAGAAACCGAGATAAACAAAAATAGATAATTTTCATTGTCGTTTTTCTTGTATATTTATATTTTTTTTTCTTTATTTCAGGTTTTCCGTCGGAATTGGTGTACTATGGTTCAGCGATGTGGGAGACACTGTACGGCATGATGTTAGCCTTCCCTCTAGTCGGTTGGATTTTTATACCGGTCTATTATAGACTAAACACGAACTCTGTTTATGAATATTTACAGGTGATTATATTTTTCCATAAAATTTAAAACTAAATAAATTGAATTACCATAAACACTTCTTCACACAGAAGCGGCTGCACGGATTTAGATGTACACAGATAAATAAAAAAAATATGTTGGAACATTAATATTTAACACACAGCACCATCTAGTTCCATGGTAAGCTACGAGGCCTGTGTTATGGATACCAGGTAGTTGCTATACTACATATATATAACTCTAAATACATACATATTATAAATATTATGAACACACATGACTGGAGTACAAACATTCTTACTGATGACACAAAAAAATGCCCCCCGCGGGACTTGAACCTGCCACCGCTGTCACAGCAAGTAGGGTCACTACAAACTGAGCCTCTGAGTTCTCAAGTTCTTAACATAAGCTATAGTTAGGCATCTAAGAACGCACTCGAGTAAAACGATAGTACATCGCTACTAAACTAAAATAAGTATAAAATCAGACATTTTTATTAAAAAAACCATCTTAGAGCTTTGCGTGCAGCCGCTTAGCAAATTGGCTGATACATCGTAGTATATTATACCATATTCAGCCATGTTATAATATTCATATTTATTTAGTAAATAGCGACTCACCCTCGCTCCACACGAGTTCGTCCCTATTTACATTTTGACGTTTAGTATAGATTTCTTAAGACATGAGATATTTTCCTGCAGTAAAAAGTATCATATATGTTGACCCGAATAACCAGCTATCATTATACTAAATTTCATCAAAATCTAATGGTTTTCTCGTAATGCGTTCCCAGATAGACATATAGACAGACAAAAAAATCTAAAAGTAAAAACTATACATCCGACCTCTGTATCGATAATAATGATTATTTCAATAAGATTTTCCAACAAATATTTAATGTAAAGATTCGACTCGGTTAGAATTTTATCTTATGTATAGATTACGTGTTCTGCTCTTCTAATGTAATAATCATCTATCCCTTTCGACGTTCCACTGTTAGGCACAGCCCTCCTTAATACGAGAGATCAGGTTATAGTCCACCACGCTGGTCAAATGCACGTTGGTGAACTTCACATATTTATCTTTTGACAACTATTTAGGTTCTTTCTGACATGCAGATTTTCTCATTAGGATTTTATTCATCGTAAAATAAATAAACATGTTGAAAGTGATCCCACATGAAAATATTAGAGGTGCGAGGTTAGGATTTGAGCCCACATCACTTGATTTTCTAAGCGGGTGCATATTAATGACTAGCATTGCCCACGGCTCCGCCCGCGTTCAAATGATCATAAACGATATTCTTAGGTTTTACATATTACATAGTATGCTCTTACATTGCAGTTTTTGTTTTTTTTCTCAGAAATGAGATATTTTCCCGCGGTAAAAGTATTCTATATGTTGACCCGGATAACAAGCTATCCATACCAAATTTCATCAAAATTCCTCCAGTGGCTTTTTCGTGATGCGGTAACAGAGAGACAGACAGACAGAAAAAAATCTAAAAAGTATAGATTCGGCCTCTGTATCGATAAAAATGTCTTTTTCAATAAGATTTTCCAAAAAATATGTAATGTACAGATTCGACTCAGTTACAATTTTATTATATGTATAGATAACAATTTGTTTTAAATGTCCTAACCTCTCCAAGTGCAGATATTTTAGCACTTTTAATGCATTTTTCAATTAATTTGATTTAATAAAACAATAGTTTGTTGTAATTTTAATTTATTATCGTTTGAAAACCCTTTAAAATATATCAAAATAATTGGATTACATAATATTATTTTAATGTATACTTAATGTATACGATAAAAACAGTTTATCGCCCCAATAGTGAATAGGTCAAACTAATTTCATATAAATTATATTGGTAATTAAGATTTAGTTATTAATTAAAGTCAATTGTTTTAAAATAGTTTATTTAATTAACGTTTGCTTTTTTGTAATATATGTATATGTATGTACTTGTACGTATGTACTATTGTTACAACACTTATAACTCGAGAACTGCTGGACTGATTTTTGTGATCTTTGTTTTGTTGGATTTGTCTTCATCCCATTTATTAAATATAGCTAAAATATAAAAATAATAACAACGTAGTGGTAGCCCAGTGGTAACGCGCTTGCTTGGGAAACCGAATGAAACGGGTCAAATCCCGGGTCTCGGACCTCTGATATTTTCATGTGCGAATCATTTCCAATATGATGAGATTCCACTTGTGTTACGGTGAAGAAAAACATCGTGACAAGACCTACATGTTTAACAGAACCTAGCAAGTCTTTGAAAGATATGTGAAGTCCACCAACCCACATTTGGCCAGCTTATTGGACTATCAAAGTCGTCTCGTAACGGGAGGCCCGTGCCGAGCAGTGGGATGTAAAAAAAAGCAGAATACCAATACATAAATAATGTAATATACCTGTTTATTTATTTCAATTTCAGATGCGTTTCGGCTCAATATGGGTACGTCGTATAGCAGCCGCTACGTTCTTACTTCGACAAACTTTAAATCTCGCCGTAACAGTTTACACTCCTACGGTAGCGTTACATGCAGTACTAGCGCTTCCTCATTGGGCGTCTGCTGCTGCTTTAACTACAGTTGCTATAGTATTTAACTTACTTGGAGGATTGGCTGCGGCTATCAGGTAAGTTAGATGAAGGATTTCTTCTCTAAGTTTTAAATAACTAGCGACTCACCCTCGCTTCGCTCGGGTTCGTCCCTAGGTACGTTTTACATTTTTTGAGTGGAACCCGAATTCTTTTTCTAAAATAAAAGTAGCCTATGTTACTCCCTATAACATCAGCTATTTTCCAGTAAAAGTCCTGTCAAAATCAGTCCAGCCGTTTCAGAGATTATCCGGAACAAACAGACAGACAGAATTTTTTTAAATTTGTGTGTTTTTCTTATAAGTACCGTGTATCATTTCAATGTATTTAGTAAAACGTTGTTATTTTTATATTACAAACAGACACTTCAATTTTATTTATCTGTATAAGTAGATTGATAGAAGTAAATTGATTTAACTAAAACGGTTCACCGAATTCCATTCTTATTGTATCCTTATTATATTCTTATATCATTATATGGATAAGTTATCATTAATTTATTGAATAAAATAAGAATTATGATCGGCTTAAAACTGGCAAAGACGTGTAATGAAGACAACAGATACATTTAAATGAAATATCTCTTACTTTTGGAGTTTTCCAAAAATATGTAATAAATTATTATTTACCATCTTATGGGAATCACTAAAAAGTTATATGGTTTTTTAACTCCACGACATTTATTTATAGAATCAAGTATCTAGATGTTTCAAATAAGCACATATATATGTAAATATATTAGTACGCACTATATATTTTAACAACACGTCCTATATTCACTCATGCTCAAACTGCAGGCTTCTTCAATTAACATGTATTTTTATTTAAATGGTATAGTGAGCTACTTTAATTTATTTATAATACTAGCATTGCCCGCGGCTCCGCCTGCGTTCAAATGAACAAAAAACAAATTCTTAGGTTTTACATATTAGTGTACATTGTGTGTTTTACATTGCAGTTTTTGTATTTTTTCTCAAAAATTAGATATTTTCCCGCGATAAAAAGTATCCTATATGTTGACCCGGATAACCAGCGATCACCATACCAAATTTCATAAAAATCCCTCTAGTGGTTTTTCTGTGACGCGGTAACAGACAAACAAACAGACAGACAAAAAATTTAAAAATTCTTTTTTTCTTATAAGTACCGTATACACTGTCATTTCCACTGAGTAAAAAACAATATTTTTTTAAATTACAAGCAGAAACTTATATTTATTTGTTTTTATAGACCTTTGATTTCTATAGACTTTTTGATTTACCTATTTTTGATGTGATTTTCCAGGGCTGATGTAATTCAAACACTAACTATGGTGCTAGTGAGTGGAGCTTTCATAATACAGTCCACAGTGAAGGCAGGAGGCCCTGGAAAAGTTTTAGCAGATAACATAGATGGCAATAGATTGGAGTTCTTTAAGTAAGTAACGAAATTGTTATAAATGTCTGATTTATTTCTTTTTTTAACATTTGAAGCTAGCGGGACGACGTATCTAATCGTGGAGATAGGTCATCATTTGTACATTTTGTGTGTCTTTGGGTATATTTGTTCTTATTTATTGATTTTACGTATGTAGGAAAAAAAATGATTCTTAATTAATTAATCACGTGCTATTTAATATCAAATGAAAAAAAAACAGAAATAAATTAAAGAAGTTTTATTAATGAGCTAGATACTTTATTTTTGTTACACTTACATAACAATATTGCTTAAAAAATCACATCTAGAAGACATAAAAGTTATTTAAAATTGCAAAACATGAAATTAAAAAAAAAAAGAAAATCTTTTTATGTTCCTGTAACTTCCGATATATTTTTACTTACTGTAAACATTACACATTTTTTTTCACTTTACAGATTCACTTTTGACCCAGCAGTGAGAGTAGATACACTATCAGCATTCATAGGACAATTGTTTATGTCAGTTTCTCTTTATGGATGTCAACAAACGTTCGTTCAACGTTACTGCTCCATGTCAAGCGAGGGTAAAGTTAAGAGGACATTGCTATCCAATGTTCCGGCTGTAGCTATCCTTTTCAGTTTATCCTGGGTCGTTGGGATGGGATTATATTCTATGTATAGATATTGTGATCCGTTAAAATCCGGACAGATTGCCGAGCCGGATGAGGTTTTACCATTTTATGTACAAGATCAGTTTTCGTTTCTACCTGGCATGTTGGGGTTGTTTTTGGGAAGCCTCTTTAATGGGGCTTTGAGGTAAGATATGTTTTAAATTTTTCTTGTATATATATATATATATATATATATATATATATATAAGTACATCCCGATATTTTTGACAATAATTAACTAATTTTAATGATTCCTTCTTACTTTATTCTAAAAATAAAGAGAAATAGTAAAATTTTAGTTAAATCTATTTTTTAAATCAGTTCAATATTTGTATTAAGATTTTATTAACTTTAAAAATGTCAGTTATCGTGATCATTAACTAAAAATATTCGAAGTAATAATTTTCTTAACTGATCTACGTGATATATTACTATTTCTCCATTTTACGTGACATTGACGAAATAGATTATGGTCAAGTTTGAACTGACATACCTTATGTTAATAACAAATAAATATATATATATATATATATATTGGAACACCAGACCAATTTGTGTTTTCTGTACAATAAACAGAAAAAAATATTATACTAATTACGTTATCTTTCAGCTTCCTTGTGTCGAATGTAAATTCGCTATCGACTGTGACGTGGGAAGACTTTGTATCAGCTGCACCAGCGTTTAAAGGCATAAGCGATAAGCAACAGCTAACTATCATTAAGGTTATTGGAATTATATACGGTGCGTGTTTCACTGAACAGTTGTAACTTACTCACGGACTAACTCCTTAAATCTACAATTGAATATTAAATTCACACCTATATATATATAATAGTTTTACATGAACGTATGTTCTTATATTTTTTACAGCAATAACTATTATGAGCCTGTCTCTCTGCGTGGGTCTGGTCGGGGGAGTGATAGAGGGGTCTCTGTTGGTGACGTCAGCAACGTCAGGGGCTCTTTTAGGGGTGTTCCTCCTTGCCGCAATCTTTCCTATGGCTAACGGCAAGGGGGCACTTTGGGGGATGGTGATGTCACATATAGTGACCGCATGGCTAGCCGCGGGTCGACTCATGTATGTGAAAAATTCCATTGCTAAGCTACCGTTGTCTGTTGAGGTTTGTTTTTTATGTTTAAGATTTCATTATTCTTAAAAAATAATAAACCGATGAATGATGTTTTTTTTTCTTTATATTTTGCTTTTAATTGTAGCTATATGCAGTGTCTTTAAATATTATTCCAAATTCTTAATATGGAAGCGTAGAGAAAATAGTATCAAGACTGAATGATGACTGAAAGATGTTACTGTATAGTAGAAATGTTTCATAAAAATTAGCTTAGCCGTTCTCTTATCGAACATTTATTTGTGATCACGCTAGTGTTACACACAAAACATTATAAATTTTATTTTAAAAAGACCATAAAATACTTAAACTTAATTATTTTATTTTAAAATTCTAGTATACAAGTTGGAAAACTTTTTCGTAATTTTAAACACTGGTATAATATTTGAGCCATTTCCAATACAGCGAAAATCGGAAATTCGACTCTCGCTTTAAATAAATTTATAAATTCATGTGATTTTTTTGGACAATTTTGTGATTTCTAATGATTTTTATAGTAGTACATATATATTTTTGTTATAAAACTCTAGTATTAAAACGATTAAATAACTATTTCCGTTTCAGAAATGTTCGAACACAACTCTAAGCATTTTAAGCTCAAAAGCTCTGCCGGTCGAAGTGAATCAGACTTTAGTACAATTTGCACCAATCTTTCAAGTGCATGACCAGAGTTATGTATCGCATGTGCCTGAACCATCTTCTGTGTAAGTATTATTTTATATATAAAAATAAACAAATATGTTAGAACATCATACAACACCATCTAGTTCCATGGTAAGCTACGAGGCCTGGTGTGTTATGGATACCAGATAGTTGATACACTACACATATATTACTTTAAATACATACATATTATAAATATAGACACCCATAACTGGAGTACAAATATTCGTATTCATCACACAAATAAATGCTCCCAGTGGGGCTAGAACCCGCGAACACTGCATATATTATATAATATATTTATGCTTGTATGTTTGTAACGTATGCATTTATAAACCAGGTATTATATGTTACATGTATATTGATAATACTCGTAATATGTCAGTAATCTTGAGGCTATGAGAACAAGTCATCAAAGTTTGATCAGTATGGGGTGATAATTTATAAATTGGACAACTATTATAAATACAAAAGTTTGTAAGAAACGGCTGGACAGATTTGGATGAAAGTTGGTATACTGATAGGTGGTGTATACGGGGGACAATACATAAGCTACATACTACATGGGTGTTAGAAACCTACAGACAGTCAGTAAATCGCTAGATTTATAAATATAAGTTTTGATTAATTGATTAACAGTGATAATAAACTATTCTATACGACAAACAGACGTAGCAAACTCTATATGGAAAATTATAATTGCTTTTCAGAACAAATTTATTTGTTAATAATTGTGCTCTTTAGCCGTATAGACTACTGAATACTGAATTAAAGATTCCAATTTAAATTCAACAAAAACATTTCTCTTTCAGATTTACAGCTTTTATGAAAATATATTCCATCTCATACATGTGGTATGCCGTAATCGGAACAATTATTTGCATTACTTTCGGAGTAATAATTGGCTTAATAACTGGCAATGAAAATGATAAATTCGATGAACGATTACTACATCCGTTAATTGCAAAAATATCCAGAAAAATACCGGGCAAAAAACGCACTTTTACCAGTCAAAGTCAGAAAGAAGTGAAACCTGATGAAACTGATGATAGATTCTCAAGAAGCAATAGCAGTATAGCAGTGGAAAATAATAACTTACCGATTAAAACGCATTTGTAATTTAATTGAACTTATTTAATACTTTCTTAGATTTACGCGAATGTTTGACATTTTTAAATAAAACTATCTTTTCGGATTATTTCGCGGATTTATTTTGATTTTTAGTTCCCGACTGAACTTATTTAGCCGAGATTGAGCAGAGGTTCTCAATTCCGTCACATTTTTGTGTAAAATGTGAACAGAATATTTGCCTTAAAGGTAATAGTGGAAATATTATGTACATGTTTATTATGTAAACAATAATTTAGAATTGTAAGTTCTATTTTGGTAAAATGGTCATCTAAAAATATTAGAAAGTGACTAATTCAAGGCTATTATTACGTGTTTTAATCTGTTTTGTTGTAGTCAAAGTAAAAAAGCCCTTAGTTTAAATAATGGCTGGTAGACTAACGCCTGAGGGTAAAGTGCACGGCTAGAATATATGTTTTAAAGATTATTATTAATCAACTTCTATATATTTTATTGGTATGATATGTGTGCGTTTACATTTAGTTCAAATTTTGGATTTCCTGTTGAAATTAATTGAAATAAGTCCAAATATTTTCGCATTAAATGTGCGCTAATATGTACAGAAATGGAAAGATGATTAACAAATAGTGTTAAAAAATGTTGTTTAAATATATTTAAAAAATCCAGTATTCAGTTACTAAAAGTGGCTAAAAATGCTGATGCTCAGTGAGAAAGAGAGAGAGAGAGAGAGAGAGAGAGAGAGAAAGAGAGAGAGAGAGAAAGAGAGAACTAGAAAAGAAACTAAATATTTATATTTTATTTTGCACTGAATCTCTTAAAGAAAATTTTGTCTTTTGGTACTATAATGAATAATAACTGGTAATTGTTAATATTTTCTAATTAATTAGATTGACATTGATATGTTTGATTATTTTTAATAAGTTATTAAATGTAATGTAAATTATAAATATTAGTTGTAAAAATATTGCCATGTAATCATAGATAAATTTTAATGTTGCCAATATTATTATGTTATATTAAAAATATCTAGATATTTCCTATATTATCAAGAAATTTTAAAGTCATTAAGTACAAATACAATACAGATTTTATTTTATTTTAATTTAATAAAAATCTTTATTCGTTATCTCAAAAATTTTACAATAGCTGATAAGTGATTAGGACCTCCTTTTAAGCGCATAAGCACTTGTGTTAGAAGAAACCGCTCAATTTTACTTAGCAATATTTTATATTGCTTAAAGTAGAAAGCCAAATATTATAATAAATCAGACGTTTTTTTTCATGATATACCTATATACTTATACTTTATTCATTTTGAATTAAAAATCTTTTTCTTATTCAAATAGTGTATATAATATTTATATTAAGAATAAGATTATATTAAGATTAAAAGAAAGATTGAAAATGGTAGATTTAAATGTGATATTGTTATTAAATTTGAAATTTTAGTGCAGTAATGTTGATAGACTACGAAGTGATTTAACTATTTTTGCCAAAAAATAGTTTATTTGTACTTTTATCTTTATATGTGCCTTATGTAAGTAGAGCGAAATGGTTTAACTTACACTATCATTTTTTTTATTTTACATAATTTTGCAACTACATGCTGTAGTTGTGTTTTTATTTGAATATTTCTTCTATAATTTAATAACAAAAAATATGATTAAACAAAAAATATGTTTTAAGTTAGGCCATTTTAGCATTGACTGTCTCATATTAAATATTTGTAATGCCGCGTTGTGTATATGAAAGTTGTGATAGTAGCATAATTTGTAATTAAGCGAATCCGAATTTAAATGTCTGAGTGTTAGAGTTCATTTTTGATTGTGTCTGTTTGAAAGCAAGGGCTTATAAATTGAAATAAGATTTATCAACCCTTCGTATTTATGAATGAATTATTTTGAATGAAACAATTGTTCTAATAATTTGAAGTAGTATGAATTAATTATTTGAATAACTATTTATTTCTCGTTCGAATAATTGATTATTAGTACAATTGTGCGTGAATAATACGAGGTTTTGTACAGATTTATTGAATAAATATTATTTTATTTCTAGTGTTTATATAAATAACAAATATTCTATCTTTAATTACTTAGGTTAATTGATATAATATTTACTATTTTCGATTAAATACAGCTTTTAATTTTACTGCAGGTGCGATTCCTGTTCTTGTTTATATTGAGACCAAAATAATTAAATTAATTATTTTGATTTGTATTTAGCCTTAAGTTGTATTTAATTCTATTTTTATGTAATATTTTGTATTCGTTTTTTCAATTTACTATACAGTATATATATGTATTATGAAATAATTTTGCAACAATCCGTTCAATAAACAAACAGGACGAAATGTTGCTTTTATATACATATACATATATTATGTAAATAAAATATTCATGTACTTTTGTGATATTATTCAGTATTAGTACTGTATGAGAGCAACAATAAAGTATAAGTATACGATAATATCTATATTTTGTAAAATACTTGTTTATTTGTATAATAATTGTATAAAATGAAAAATTATAAGTATAAAATATGAAGAATAATTATTCGGTTATTTTATTTTAAATCTTCATCCCATTAGTTTTATAAATGCGAAAATTTGGATGGATGTTTGTTACTCAATCACGCCAGAACAGCTGAACGGATCTGGATGAAATTTGGCACAGAGATAGATTATAGTCTGGATTAGCACATAGATTTTTATCCCGAAAAATATACGGTTCCCGAGCGAAGCGAGGGCGAGCCGCTAATAGTCTATAAATATATATCATAAATATATTAATATATTTTTTATTTTTAATATATATATATATATATATATATATAAAATTTCCATGTCACAATGTTAGTTACCGTACTCCTCCGAAACGGCTTTACCGATTTTTACCAAATTTTATATGCGTATTCAGTAGGTCTGAGAATCGGCTACTATCTATTGGTTGAGTCGCTAGTATATATATATATATATATATATATATATATATATATATATATTTGCAACAAATAAGTCTTAAGCAACATAATAGTGTAATTAAAAAGTTTATAAACTGTTTTAAATGCCACAATATCACAAGTTCGGTACTTCGAGAGTTTTCATTATATGACCGTGTTATTATAGCGATTCTAACTTTTAGTCTTAATTAGGATAATATAACTCTTAAATGGAACTAAAGCTGTGTTTTACTGCATATTACTGACATATCAGCATTTACATAAGACTCAAATGAATTTCTTATTTCTTGGCAAATCAACTATTAGAAATGCGAAAGTTTGTATGTTTATATTGCAAAATTTAATAAACAAATAATCTTTAACTTTGTTTCAATCTTGGGAAATATATTTAGGCTGACCACCTGTAGAGATACAGATAGTTATGTGGGAATCACTGGCTCGAAAAGCCAGTACTACCCAATAAAACCTAACGGAACCTCCCCCGTCTTAATGGGGCGTCGCAGGGTCGCTTACGCACTCAACCACGACGCCACGTCCCACGGTTACTCCTATGATTCCCTATGTTGTCAGAGAAGTACCAGAACCCGAATGAGAGAGCACCCATCGAAGTGGGCCAACTGTGTCTTTTGGATTCGCGCCAGGCTGGGTTGCCGGACGATAATGAACCCCTCCACCGCGACCAGGTCCACACGACATATTGCGGGGGGATATAGACTAGACCTGTAGTAACATAATATTACATATTATAATGAAGTAACATAATAACATAGTACCTATAGGCAAGACGTATCAATATTGATGCAATATTCAATAAGGCGACTTCTAGAAGTTAAGGCCATCTTTAATTATTGTAAACTACGTTACAGACTTGTAATCTTTAGTTAAAAACTATTCTATACATGGATGGCATATTATATATCAGACATCGTGGTATTGTTAGATATTTCACCATTTTATGACTTTGTTTTTATTATTTTTTGAAATATCTGTCATTAAAAAAAAGTGAAAATTATAACAGCTATATACAGATATATAGTATTATATTATGATCTGTGCAAGTACAGATCAAATTTCGTATACAGAAAATATTTGGACACGGACCTCTAAAAATATACTTTGAAGTTAAGACTTACATGAAGAAACTAAGTTACTAAGGTTTATTACTGTTTTTATTCTTTTTCTCATTAAAACTCAGTGTTTGTTCGATTTCACATAACAAGTAATAATGTGAAAATGAAGTAATAAAACTTCGCATCATTAAGACTAATAAAAATGTTCTTTAGAAGTTTCTTGTAATTTAACAAAATATCATATAATATTAAATGAGCAATTCTTATATCGGAGTGTCTAAATAAAAAAATAATTATTCGTCCTTTATCTATACATATAATAAATTCTAAGTCGAATCTGTACATTAAATATTTTTTTGGGAAATCTAATTGAAATAGACATTATTATAGATACAGAGTCCGAATCTATAGTTTTTAGAATTTTTGTCTGTCTGTCCATCTGTCTGTCAGTTACCGCATCAGGAGAAAACCACTGAACAGATTTTGATGAAATTTGGTATGATGATAGCTGGTTATCCCGGTCTACATATAGGATACTTTTTACCGCGGGATTTCTAAGAAAAAAATACAAAAACACAAAAACTGCTTTGTAAGAGTATACTAATATGTAAAACCTGAATTAGGTTTTTGGTCATCTGAACGCGGGCGAAGCCGCGGGCAATCCTAGTTTATTATATAAATTGTAAGGAAGGATGAATAGACTAATAAATAAGTAAGTAGAATAAGTTGTTCGGTTCGGTAGGTTAAGGTTATTTTTTTTTTGTATACAGAAATTTCTGCACCTAAAAATATTTTTTTAACCTTAAAAACTCTTGAATATAAAAATCATAGGAATTTAAAAGAATAAGTTTCTAACTCCGTAGGTTAAGGTTATTTTTTTTTTATATTGAAACTTTTGCACCAAGAAATCACTTATTTTACATTAGAAAACAAAAAAAGTGGTAAAAATTCATACAAACCGACGAATAATATATATTTTATTCACCCCAGTATCGG